CAGCCACGGCGCTGCTGCTGCCCCTCTCTTCCGTCCGCCGCTGCCTGCTTCCTTCACAGTGTTGCGTCAGTGCAGCCTGGGGCTGCTGAGCAGCAGCAGCAGCAGCAGCAGCAGCAGCAGCTGGACGCACGCGCTGGAGTGGCCCGTGGACGAGGGGCTAGCAGCAGCTTGCTTCACCCCGCTGCTGCTGGTCAAGGCTTTTAAAAGATTAGACAAAATTTACAACTTTTCAAAAAGACAATTTGCTGCTCCTTCCAGAAACGAATGCAGAGTTCTCCTCAATCTCGCACAGGTGCCTGCTGCTGCTGCTGCTGCTGATGCTGCTGCTGCTGCTGGGGCTGCTGTTCTGCTGCTGGGACTGCTGTTCTGCTGCTGCTTGGGCTGCTGTTCTGCTGCTGCTGCTGCTGCTGCTGGGGCTGCCGTTCTCCTGCTGCTGGGGCTGCTGTTCTGCTGCTGCTGCAACGCTGCTGCTTCAGGCAGCTGCTGCCGTTGCTGCAGGTAATTCATGCTGCTGCTGCTGCGGTGGGTTGTTGCTTCCTTTGCTACCGTTGTTGCTGCTGCTGCTGTTGCTGCCGCTGCTTATGCTGCCGCTGCTTTTGCTGCTGCTGCTGCTGCTGCTGCTTTCTTGGACTTCAATTAGCTGCTGGGGACTGAGTTCTTGTTGTGCCTTGAAATCCATTCACAAAATTATTAATTTATTTTTGAATTTATAAATTCCTTTTTTCATTTCTTTCAACAAGTTGTTTATTATTTGATTTGTTTCTTCTTGACTCTTTCACCAACTAATTAACTTTTCATTTAATTTGTTTTGCATAACTTCAACAACTAATTCAGTTATTCATTTGTTCACTGATTAGCTAATGCACCGACCACTTTCTTACTGCTACTGCTGCTGCTGCTGCTGCTGCTGCTTCTGCTGCTGCTGCTGCTGCTGCTGCTGCAGGTGTTGGCTAGCCGTGGGCAGCTGAAGCTGCTGACTCTGGACGGCGACGAAACTCTTTACCCCGACGGGGGGCAGCTGCAGCAGGAAGAAATGGCCCAGTCCATTGCGCAGCTGCTGCAGCGGGGAGTTAATGTTGCTGTTGTCACTGGCGCAGGCAAGCCTTTTGCTGATGCTGCTGCTGCTGCTGCTGCTGTTACTGCTGCTACTGCTGCTGGCGGGGAGTTAATGTTGCTGTTATCCCTGGCGCAGGCAAGCCTTTTGCTGCTGCTGCTGATGCTGCTGATGCTCCTGCTGATGCTGCTACTGCTAATGCTGCTGCTGATGCTGCTACTGCTGGTGCTGCTGCTGCTGCCATTGCTGCTGCTGCTATGATTCCCCTAGCTACCATTTTTTCCGCCTGCTTTCCTGTCTGACTTTTTTTCAATTTTAAAAATGATATAGAAGAAGAATAAATAAAAGAATGAATGAATAATAATTATTTTATTGTCTTTTGTTATTTATTCTTTTATTAGAAAAACAAACAAAAGAATAAATGAATATTAATATTCTTTTATTTTCTTTTATTATTTATTTACTCCTTTATTTATTTTTCTTTTTTTCTTTATTTCTTTTCTTCTTCTCCCCACCTTTGCCTCTCCCTACACTCATTACAATTTACTTTTATTATTTATTAACACTTCTAATTAATTATTTATTAATTATAATTAATTGAACTAATCAAATTAATTAAATTAATTAAGTTACTTGTTGTTATTTAATTAATTTAAATTAATTTAAATTACTTTTAATTAATTCAAATAAATTTTTGCGCTTTGTCCTGTGCGCGGCCATTCTGGCGGGGCGTTTCGCGCTTTTGAATTTTTCGTTTTTGGTGGATTTTGGATCATTTTTGGATCTTTTTGGATCTTTTTGGATCATTTTAAATGAATTTTTGAATTCTCTTTCCAACGAGGTGCTATTTGATGTGCTCTTTGTTTCTTTTTTCTTCTTTTTTTTCTTTTTTCGCCTTTTCGGCCCCAGGCTACGGCTACGAGGCCCCCCTCTACGCCCAGCGCCTCGGCTGCCTTTTCCGAGTTTTCCAAAAGTCCAATTTGCTTCCAGCAGCAGCAAAACGTTTTTTCCTCATGGGAGGAGAGTCCAATTACCTTCTCTCGTGAGACTCTTTGCTGCTGCTGCTGCTGCTGCTGCTGCTGCTGTGGTCAGTGCTGCTGCAGCGGCGGCTCCGGAGAGTTCAGCGGTCTTCCCGCGCGAAAAAACGAGCCAGTGCTGCTGCTGCTGCTGGTGCTGCTGCCGCTAATGTTGCTGCTGCTAATGCTACTGCTGCTAGTGCTGCTGCTGCTAGTGCTGCTGCTGCTAATGCTGCTGTTGCTAGTGCTGCTGCTGCTAATGCTGCTGCTGCTAGTGTTGCGGAGAGTCCAACTACCTTCTCACGTGAGAAAACGCGCCGCTCCCGCTGCTGCTGCTGCTGCTGCTGCTGCTGCTGCTGCAGGCTGTCTGGGTCTTACAAGCTGGAGCCTGTTCCGGAGAGTCAGTGGCGGGGCTACCGGCCCTTCATTTCTGCTGCTGCATGCAAGCAGCTAATGGACTTGGCGGAGAAGTCTTTATTTAAAGCAGCAAAAGAATTAAACTTAAAAGGAACTCTTATTCGAAAGCAGCGCGCTGTGGGGCTGGTGCCGCTGGAAGATGCTGCTAGCAGTGAGCAGCAGCTGCTGCTGCTGCTGACAGCAGCCGCTGCTGCTGCTGAGAGCAGCTGCTGCTGCTGCTGCTGACAGCAGCTGCTGCTGCTGCTCTTCTTTTCTTCTTTTGATTCTTTTCTTCTTTTGGTTCTTTTCTTCTTTTTCATTCTTTTATTCTTTTTATTTTTTTAATATTAAAAGTAATTGCAGTTAGAAGTGGATTTCAATTTGATGTTTCCTTCACTCGTTGCTTTTGCTGCTCTTTTTGTGGCAGCAGCTTTCTTCTTTTAATTCTATTTTATTTTATTTTATTTTAGTTTATTTTATTTTATTTACTATTTTACTTTCTTCTTTTATTTG